TTTTCTTTTCTTTTCTTTTCTTTTCTTTTATTCTGATCGTTCGTCAGTGGCATTGGGTCCGGGGAATGTGGGAAGCTAACGACGTCGCGTTTCGTTGCTTCGCTTTCTTCGTTGTCTCGCCGTTCGTACTCTTTTTTCACTCTCTTGCGAGCGTACCATTCGGTGTTCGTGCTCGTGATTTAATAAATTTACGTCGAATAAAGAAATTGGCGCGATCCGTTCGGCTTTGGTTTGTCCTTCGTTTCCGTTAAATCGTGAACTAAGCCCTCGCCATCCATCCAACCCACCAGTGCTCGATGTTTTTTCTCGGCAATGCACCTATGGGCCTTTCGCGAGTGCGCGTTTTCTCGTCGGGTCCGATCTTCGAAACGTTCGTTTAACACGTTTTTCGTTCGTTACGAAATTCTCTTTCACCCAAACGCATAGTTTCGTAATAACTAGTAGCTAACAACGTTTCGAGCGATACGAAAGAAAAATTTCACGGAAAGGAGTTAAACGCGTTAAACGCGAGCGTGTATGGTCGAGTGCTACGTGTACGGTAAGTGTTAAGGACAAGATTTGTAAGTATCGCATCCAATTGCTACGATAGTTTGGACAACGATCGATCGAAGTACAATTTGGGCAGGAAGAGATCGCCCACTAGTCGCGATTACGTAGACGTTTCATCGGCCGAAAGGAAGCATCTATCTCGGTCTAACGACTAACGATAACGATCGATACCCGTTCGACTAGACGCTACAACGGTTAATCCGCTTCTCTCTAAAACTAATCGAAACGAAGCAACAAACGTGTAACTATAACTACGAGTTAACTCTAAATTTCTCTCGACGACGAACGTTACTTTTCGCGAATGCGATAGAGCATTTCAAGTGGATTCTACGTTGGCTAACGTACGCTAGACATCGATGGGGAACATTGTTCCGTCAACGTTTATATCGAAGTTATCGCTCGGATCGAAATTATACATGTAAATTTGATCGACGAGACGTCGATAAAGGTAGTCGAGGTCGAAACACGAAAAGTACGGAGACTTCTACGTTATTATGGCTCGTCGATAGTTCCGGACGTAAACCGTGATGATCAATTTCCTCGCTGCGTCGCTACGAAACGCTGGCATATTCGTCCTTTGGGGCACGACTTACATCCGGAAGCCTTTGATCCAGGTACGGGATAACTCGTGCTCTTCGAAACTCGTTAACAGTACCGAGAAAATTAGTTACATGTTTTTTCTTTTTAATTTTCCTAAAGGTCAGCTTTCCTTTTGACGCGAGATCAAATAATATTAACTCGTCGAGTTTCTCGTATCGGTCCAGATCGCTCGAAATGTCGCGTAAAAACCTCCGGAGAATCTATCCTCTATCGTTCCATCGTTCACGATAAAAACGATAAAACGCGCGTTCATATTTCACGTTCCGTTTCGAACCTAATCGTTATACGAAATTTATCGGATTCGAGGAAAATTCGCGTAACTGCCGTTTCTTTCCTTCTTTCTTTCCCTTTCCTTTCCTTTCTTTTCCTTTCCTTTCTCTCGTGTTAATATAGCGACACACCACTGCAACGCTCAGCCGGCACAAGCATGCAATTTTCAAACAATCCTCTACTATCAGTTTCGATCACGCAACCTGTATGGATGTCTTTGTGAGTATCGTGAAATTTGGTTGTCGAAGAATGTCGAATCGTTAACGCGACGCGTCGTGTAACGTTTGGAGCACGGGAACGGACTCTATCGACGATCGTCGTTCGCAATGTCCTTTCGACGTTTTTCTTGGTCCGGAAATGTACTCTTCCGATACTTTCGAAGCATCGCGATCGACGATAGTTAGCGTGTCCCGTTTCGCGTACGACACCCGCGTATTCTTTCCATGGCGAATTAACCCTTCGGTTTCCCTTCTCCAACGCCAACGCGAGATACGACCAATAATTTCATTTAATCGTTAATTATTCATTTAGTTGGTTAACCAAAGGATTAATCGCGTTTTTGTGCCAGATGTGTTCGAGTGTCGCGTGTCTGATACTTAGTTTTCCAACTATAAAGTCTCGAGCAGCGAAGTGAAGGTGAAAAAGACACAGTGGGAAAAGACGGAAGAGAGATTAGAAAAAGTGTGTACGTATATAAACAGACAGATAAAACGGGGAAAGAGAAAGAGAGGAAAAGAAAGAGACACAGAAAGTCGTCAGGTATTCAGACAAAGGAGAAATAAACGAAGATACGAAAGCTAAAGTCGACGGATCAAAGACTATACGTAGATAGACCTTGCGAGAAAGCAGTTTTTCCTACAGTCGCTTTCTTCTTCGAAAGAGACATACACACGTACAAATATACGTATGTGAATGTACGTATGTATGTATGTGTCTATGTATTTATTTATGTATGTATGTATGTATGTATGTATGAAACGTGGTAATTGATATTTATGTTCTGTTTCTATCTACTTTGAGCTACCGTCTCATCTCCCCCCGGTCCCTCGTCTATAACGTTAACGAGACAACGATATTTACGTAAGACAAGATGCTTCAGAATTTTGATTATTCCGGTCGTGCGAGAGTGTTCTACGAACGACGAACAGGCAGAAATATCGCGAGTCGCTAAGAATCGAACATCGAGTAACTCGAATCCCTTCGCGGATAAACTTTAATCGGTTAGAATTTCGAAATATTCTGTATCAAGTATAAGCGTTATTCTTACTCGAAACGAAAAAGATCGTAGAAAGCGAAAGAAATCAGCCGTCTCTCGACGAGCTTCTATCACGATATCGTTGCTTCTATGTTGTCACGATCGTTTCGAAGCGCGTAGGTACATATAACGCCAGCGTGAAACGGTTTCGAATCGGGGCTGGCAGTGGCGAACGTCGAGAACGCGCGCGTATTTTTCGCGGATCGAAAGAAAAACGTTCGAGGAAGAAAAGAAAGCGAGGCAGAGTTCGAGTGAGAGGTTTCGGGGAGAGAGTGTCGAGACAAGAAACCCAATGATTAAATCAAACGGTAAACAGCTGGTTTTGTCACAGGGAAGATACCCAGAGGTGCATCTGTCGGAAAAAAACAACGTCTGCTTCGTGCCCGCGCCTCTCGACGATTATTTCGCGAACAAATTGCCATGCACGATCCAGAGGGAAACCCGATGTTTTTAAGCTGCAGTTTTACTAACGGGGGGTGGGGGTGGGGAGATCACACACAACGCCATTTTGGTATTAATACGAAAAACCATCGGGTTCTTCCGCCGGATCTTTCGCCGTTCTCTCCGACCTATCGTCGGACTTTTAAGTAAGCGGAAACTTTCGATTTTTCAAATTACCGCGAATAATCGTCGGGAAGAAGTTTGTCGGGACGTCGAGCAAAGGCGTACCGAGGTGGTAAACGAACTGATAGATCGTGAATTTTGGTGACGGTGAATTACTGGGGCGTTGCATCGAACGTACATGAAGTAACGAATAAACGAGAATGACGATAATATGTATACGTTTACCGGATCATAAGAAAGGTCTGATGGGTCGACAGAGTGTGTGTGAGAGACAGAGAGAGAGAGAGGGGGGGCCAGGGTATTTGAAGGTTTGGTCGTATTATATATTATGCCACTCTAGTGTACTACGAGAGGTTCGAAGGAATGTTCCCAGGACCGTTTTTAGTGTGCGGGGCCTGGCAATCCTACCTTGAACAGTTGTACGCCAATGACGGCGAACACGAACTGCAGGAGGCTGGTGACGAGGACTATGTTTCCGATAGTCTTTACCGCTACGATGACGCACTGTACTACGTGCTGGGTTCAACATTAATTATAATGTAAATCCGTTCTCTTACAAACGGGATATTACGTGTGCCGACTAATTTATTGCGTCGGTTATACCTTTCTTTTCTTAATTATTCTCTTGCTTCTTATTTCTGTTTTTACCGTTTAGCTTTTCTTTTATTCTCTTTGTTCTTTTTTTTTCTCATTTATTTTCGTACGCTACCGTTAGCGGATCGCACAGGAAAAAGATTTCTCGATAACCGAGAAACGTCGTTCTCGTAAAAGCTCTTGAGAAAACAAACAATCGGAAAATATATATATATATATTTTTTTTTTTTGTGAAACATTTCTTCCTGTGCAATCTGGAATTCGACGCTATTAGCGTCCATTGTTCAAATGCAATTCGCGAAAAGTGTTTATCGGCGAAAAATCTGATTTGACTCGATCTAAATGACGAAAGGAAATTACACTGGTCTCCGAACGCGACGCGTCTTGTTCGACGCTCGTACTAGATCCTGGGACAGAATCTGACAAAGTTGCGGTACAGTTTTGTGGATAATAAGCGAGGAAAGATACCTTTAATCCCTTGGCACGATTGATGGCGCGCAGAGGCCTCAGGACGCGCAACACTCGAAGCACTTTTACCACGGAAAATGCACCGGAGCTGGAAAACGAGTGAAATTGAAATGCACGATGATTGGTGAATGTTGACGAGAGATTCGAAAATTCTTACCTGAAAGACATAGAAATGAGAGAAGAACAAACGACCAACAGGTCGAGCAAATTAAACGCCGATCGACAGAAAGCGCCGTCGTGTATGATAAAACCGTACGAGATCATTTTCAGCCAGATCTCGATCGTAAACACTGTGGTGAAAAAATAGTCGAAATTCAATAATATCTGCAAGAACGTAGAAAGGGTTCGTTGGTTGGATTTCAAACGTTCTCGATGTTCCATAAATCGTAAACGAGCACGGAATAATGGCTTATCGTACCTGATTCCTATAAGACGAAGCCCTCAATGGATCTTCGGCGGCTAACATGGCCGACGATATCATGATGCACACGAGAATCACGTTGCCGAAATAGCTATGATTGCAGAGCCAGTGACAAAACACTCGAACTCTGAAAGACGCAGCGAGGATGAAAAAATACGCGGAAAGAATAGGTTACGACGGAAAATCGCCGAGTAAAAATAAACGTCTACGGTACCTGTTCGTTTGGGAGAAAATGAAAAAAGCCGAAGCAGGGGGAATCGGTTGTTTCTTCGTGGCCATGTTAAACTCCGACATTCTTCGTGGTCTAGCCGACACCCCTTGTTCCGTGCCGTCGTCTAAACGGAAGTATGTACATACATATTTATTCGAAGATAGTCGATACGAATCGAACAGCCGAAATATTACCGTGCATCTCGTTTTGTTCGACTTCCTCCTCTTCCTCCACCTCTTCGTCGGACTCGTCTATGTTCAGCCGCACTTTCGCGTGAGTATTCGTATCTTCGCTCTTTTCCGACCTGGCCGATTTATTCGAACGTTAGTTCCCCTTTCTTCGGATCGCGATCGAGCTAGAAGTAGCTATACTTTTACTCACGTTTCCGTGTCCAAAGCTGCCTCGTAATCTTCCATCGTCTCGTTCGGATCGTGTTCCAAATCCGTGCCACCACCTTCGTCTTCTCCGCCTGTGCCTTCGCCACCATCGCCCTGTTCTCCGCTCTCTTCGTCCCTGGCCGGCGACGCGCTGTGAGATTTATTCTTTTTGGCCTAAACGAACGACCGAAAATAAGAAAAATACAATTCGTATCGCGACGTGTCTAGTGCTAGAGAAGATCGATCCGAAGAAGTAATTAATTCCCGTTTAAAGCGCAAGAAACTATGCTCCGTAGAACTCGTCGAATTTCATGAAGCATCGCGAAACGATGGCGAAGCTGAAACCTCGCTGGGTGAATGCTCGACGGGTTAAATATCGATTTTTCATTAGCTTATCGAAAACTCACGAACGATTAAGCTTCGAACGTTCAACCAGAAGAAGCGACGCGATTTTGTTCGATGACGGCCTCTTTTCTCCACCCTTACTACGAGCTTCGCGCTCGAGTTGCTTCGCGTATTTATACAGTTCCCTCGTTACGAAATATCGTTAGATAAAAATCCGTGCGAAACGATCGAAAGCGGCGATAAGGGAACTCTACTTAGGATACTCTCGTCGCGAGATCCGAGGGTGCCGTTGGTTGTCCTGGAGCAATCGACTGAACGGTAAGAGAAACGTAGGTGGCAGACTATGAACGCGTAGCGATAAACGCTTTGGACAGCGAGCAAGCGAGCAAGCGAGCAACAGTTTCGAAAATGACTGAACGATGAATAGCGCGAAACGAACTCGATATTTTCTCGCTGAGTGGTTGTACTACCACGTATTCCACTCTCGCGCGCGCGATAAACAGCGAATGTTTCTCGATAACGGTTTTAATTCTAGAGTATCGGTATTCGATTGCGGCGACCTCGATTCCGCGTGCGTGCTTCCTACCGTCGCCTCCAGCTCGAGTATCGAAGCGTACCGACGATTAAAGGTGACACAATTTTTTTTGACGGCACCAGGATTACTCGGGAATCGGTATCGGTCAGTTAGAGGGCCTATTTATCGCGTTTCGCGTAGCTAAAACGGTCGTAGTACGCGCGTAGAAATCGATCGCCGATCTAACCCGTATTCGTAGACGACCCAGATTCGCTTAATTGCGACGCGTCAAATATTTGCAAGATTCGAACTCGAGGGAGCGTAACGTGCAATAAAGAGCTTCGGCGTCAGCGTCGGCGTCGGTGTCGGCGTCAGCGCCAGCGTCGTTGGCGTCAGCCTTAGACACGACGTCCGTCATTAGGAGAAATGTCAAACGAGCCTTCCCCTCTTCCTACCTTCTTTGACGAACATTAAAACGCCCGGCATTATAATTTTCCTCGTCCTTGGGAACCGAGTAAACGCGACGAGGAAACGTTTATTCGACGAGCAACGCGTTCTTTCCACGTCTCCTTCTTCTCTTCTTCGAGAAGCCTCGTCGAACGGATCGAACTTTTCTCTTTGTTCGACGGACAATTAACGTCTATGCGAAACGATAGAAAAACTGTAGGAAGAAACTCACCTCTTCTTCGGCTTCCTTTTCGATGGCAGTCAACGACTCGGCGTCCGCGAGGTTATCGACGGCGATGGCCAAGAAGACGTTCAGTAGAATATCTGCGATACTTCTTTCGTCAAGGATCATTTATAGCTCGAACGCCGAGGATCGCGTCCTTGTGCTCGAGTGGATTTTGTTCGAATTCGTTTATCGGAAACGTCGTTCGTCGCGAACGCGGCGTTTATTCTCCGACGAACTCGACCGCGAATATTTTCGCCGGAAAAAAGGATACAGTTACCGCATATAAAAAGAATGATGAAATAAAAACAAGCAAGCATGCCGAAGCTGGCTACACCTCCGTAAGCTCTGATACCGTCGTACATCACGGCGTTCCAATCCTCGCCTGTCAGTATCTATCGGTAAAAGTCTTCGATTAAACGCGAAATTAAACGCGAAGAAAACGCACGCTCGCTTTACGATAGAAATCGCTTAGCTTTCGGATTATATATATATGTATCGGGTTCGATTACGCGTATCGGTCACGTATATCAGGATCATAGAAAACCCTGATAATTCGATCAATTTCGTGTCAATGATTTTCAAGGTGGTTCTCGCTTCAACGAAATACTCGTTGAGGATTCAACGAGTTATGGAATCGGTGAGACGCGTGATCGATTCGCGTAAACGGACGTAAGCGCCAGCGAGCGCAACAGCGAACTTACTTGAAACACGGTCAACAAACTTTGCCAGAAACTGTCGAAATTGTGACGAGGCTTGTCCTGTAACTCGCTAAAATTGAACTTTCCACCGAACACCTGCGAGAACGTTAAGGTTACAAAGCGATTCAACGACGTGTTCCGAGTTCAACTTCTCGAGCGAAAGAGAAACGTACCTGCATGCCTAGCAGGGCAAAAATCACGATAAACAGGAAGAGTAGAAGCAACAACGACGCGATCGATTGTATCGAGTTCAGGAGAGAAGCCACCAGATTCGACAGCGACTTCCAATATCTGAAAATCCACGTCCGAACGTTATTTTCTATTCTCGATAAGCGGAAAAACGCGCGACAAAGAACGTTACGACGACGATGGCACTTACTTCGTCACTTTGAATACCCTGAGTAACCGGACGCAACGAAGTACGGAGACGCCCAGAGGCGGCATCACCTGCGTGTTCGTGAGGATCATCTCGGTGATCGAGCCGATCACCACGAAGCAATCGAAACGATTAAACAGCGAGACAAAGTAACCCTACGAACAGATTGCTCGTTGAAAAAACGCCTCGTTGAAGAAACAACAAATTATACGCGTGCAACTTACTTGAAATCCTAAACTGTACATCTTCAACATCATCTCCATGGAGAAGAGCGCGATAAAAAACATGTTTGTGATTTCTGCGTGTAGAAAAGAATTGTATCTTCAGACGAGAAAATAAGGTAAAACGACGCTGCTGTCCGACGGGTAACATCCGTTTCGATAAGCGTTTCTCCGCTCAATTTTTCTACTCGACGCAGAAAAATTCGATGAAAAATCACCTATCGAACGTTGCGACACTCGTTTGACAGCGGAATTGGCTAGTTTATCGTTACCGACACGACCTACCTTGAAAGTCGTCCAACCAATGCGGCTGATTGTAATGCTCGGTCGCCAGAACTCCGGTGTTCAAAAAAACCAATACTATGATCAACCAGTAGAAAACCTGCGACTTGACGGCTTTTCTACAGGCCCTCCTCATTCTCCTGTTCACTCTGAAAATTTTCGTTGCAAACTGTCGTTCGATCAAAGCGAACGCGATAAACGCTCGACGATGCGAACAACCTCTCGAACAGTCTCGTTTCGTACCTTTAGTATTATACGAACATAAGCGCTGATCGTGTTGTTCGAACGAAATATCGAAGAAAAGTCCTCGCGTAGAAATTTACTGTTATAACGTTGGGATTAAGAGAAACGTTCGATAGGTCGATCGACTGGCTCGTTCAGCGAACAAACGGTAATATTCTTACCTGTCGAAGTCGCGCTTTTTTCTTCTCCACACGGACTCTTGTTGAACCCCTTCCTCGTCACCCTCCAATTGATCCGTGCTCTCCATCTCGCTTTGCTGTTTCGCTGTAACAATCGTTTTAACAACGTTCGACGAACATTTTTTCCAATTTTCTATCGACAACGAACGTTACTTTCGGGGTGGAAACTTGGACTGATCCGTTTGGTACGCGAACCACCACGAAGCAATCGAAACGATTAAACAGCGAGACAAAGTAACCCTACGAACAGATTGCTCGTTGAAAAAACGCCTCGTTGAAGAAACAACAAATTATACGCGTGCAACTTACTTGAAATCCTAAACTGTACATCTTCAACATCATCTCCATGGAGAAGAGCGCGATAAAAAACATGTTTGTGATTTCTGCGTGTAGAAAAGAATTGTATCTTCAGACGAGAAAATAAGGTAAAACGACGCTGCTGTCCGACGGGTAACATCCGTTTCGATAAGCGTTTCTCCGCTCAATTTTTCTACTCGACGCAGAAAAATTCGATGAAAAATCACCTATCGAACGTTGCGACACTCGTTTGACAGCGGAATTGGCTAGTTTATCGTTACCGACACGACCTACCTTGAAAGTCGTCCAACCAATGCGGCTGATTGTAATGCTCGGTCGCCAGAACTCCGGTGTTCAAAAAAACCAATACTATGATCAACCAGTAGAAAACCTGCGACTTGACGGCTTTTCTACAGGCCCTCCTCATTCTCCTGTTCACTCTGAAAATTTTCGTTGCAAACTGTCGTTCGATCAAAGCGAACGCGATAAACGCTCGACGATGCGAACAACCTCTCGAACAGTCTCGTTTCGTACCTTTAGTATTATACGAACATAAGCGCTGATCGTGTTGTTCGAACGAAATATCGAAGAAAAGTCCTCGCGTAGAAATTTACTGTTATAACGTTGGGATTAAGAGAAACGTTCGATAGGTCGATCGACTGGCTCGTTCAGCGAACAAACGGTAATATTCTTACCTGTCGAAGTCGCGCTTTTTTCTTCTCCACACGGACTCTTGTTGAACCCCTTCCTCGTCACCCTCCAATTGATCCGTGCTCTCCATCTCGCTTTGCTGTTTCGCTGTAACAATCGTTTTAACAACGTTCGACGAACATTTTTTCCAATTTTCTATCGACAACGAACGTTACTTTCGGGGTGGAAACTTGGACTGATCCGTTTGGTACGCGAACGACGGCACAGTACGAATTTCAAGATTCGTTCACGAATACGATGTTACGAGAAACGATGTAACGAACGTTAACGTTTGAAAAACATAGAATGAAAGAAACGACGCGACGGAACGGTCCGAAGCAATCGGTTGGAAAGCATTAATTAGTCCGATCGCTTAATCGACTCCGGTTATACTTGCGGGTTTATCGCGTTACTCTTGATAAACCGAATAAATAATTCTATATTTCGGACTGGTTTATTTCTAGACGAACGCGCTTAATTAGGAGAAACGTACATGGTCCTGATAGGGGTGCGCGAACATAAAAATATTCCAGTTCGATTGAACGGTGAAGAACGGCCGAGCTAAAATTACGGGAGCTAAGACACGAAAGAAGCAGGGTGAACGAGCAAACTGGTCACGTACATTTCCCGTCCTGCATTTTCGGCTCGTCCGTTTCCGGCTCGATGTCCTCGGCTTGCGTGATCCAATCCAGATACCCCCTCAGATCGTCTTCGATTTGTTGCTTCTCCCTGAGTTTGTGGAAGTCGCCTCTCGCTTTCGCTTTCTCTCTCTCCTTAGAGAACTCGCTGCATCGAGCAAAGGAACACGATATCGTGACGCGATCAGAGAAAGCCAGACTCGAGCGTAATTGAAAGGTTCGCGAGTGAAACGGAAATCGAGAAATTTCCGCGTGCAACAGAAACTTCGAAATCACCGTCACGAGACTCGTACTTCCGTGTCCCGCGTTCTATAATACTTTGAAAACACATTTTGCCATACCCCGGCGCGCGTAAATAGGGGATGCGTGAAGTATAAGGCGTCCCATTTTTATCGACGATAGTCAACGCGTTAATTGTCAGGAACGTGATTTCGTTGAAAATAATACATCGATCTCGTTGGATCCGTTATACTTACCCGGACAACACACCGAGAATCAGATTCATCACGAAGAAAGCTCCAAGTATGACCATAGAAATGAAATAGATCCATTGCCACGAACTTCCCATCGCGTCTTCGATCTAAACATCCCCGTCAAAGACGAAGAAAGCCGGACAGTGTTAAAACAGATCGATAAGTTTAATCGACAATTCGAGCAAGTACGAAATGGATCTTACGCTGTACAGTACGTCCGTCCAACCCTCGAGCGTGACGCATTGGAAGACCGTCAACATGGCAAGGCCAAAGTTGTCGAAATTCGTGATACCCCAGTTCGGGCCCTCCCAAAACCGTTTGCTACAGTGATATTCGGGCCCGACCTTCTCGCATTGGAAGCCACCGGGTCCGCAAGGAACTGGGCCTTCCATTATCGCGTCTGCGAACACGTTATCCTTATTCGCTATCCAAGTTGGAATAAGTTAGAAGTCGGAGCGATCGTTTCTTGTCCGAAAACATCGTCCGCTAATAAACGTTTAGCTAATAAGCCAATAAAAGAAAAGCATGCCAATGGAATATCGACAAATAGTTGGCAGATTTCGGGGTCGAAGGAGTTTCCCCGGCTTAACCCCGAAACACGCATCGCTATTTTAGATATGATTCAGCCACGGCGAAACTAACGCGTCTAATTATTCTTAGCGCGCGGACCGTGAGCCGCGTGTCTCACGGTAAACGTCTGATTCACGAGAATCGACGAATTTTCGCTCGCGTAACTCGTCGATACGGGTGGAATCGTGTCGAGCAATCTTGCCAAATACCTTTCCCAACGAATCGTAATCATAGAAAGCATTATTTAGCGAGGATACTTACCGGTTACGTTATGCCTGCAAGTTTTATGCATTTTGCCAGAGAACAGCTCGAGGCCGATGATAGCGTAAATAATGATGACGAAGAGAACGAGTAGAGCGATATGTAGAAGGGGTATCATCGCTCTCAAAATAGAGTTTAAGACCACTTGAAGACCTGCACATATCGACGGGGACATATCGTTATTCGCTGCCTTTCTTCGAGTATCCATCGCAACGAAACGAAACGAAACGAAACGAAGCGATGCAACCGTTCGAAAAACGATAAAAGGATGCGACCGCGTGCGAGCAACGGGAATAGTAGAATCGATTCGCGTTTAAATAATCGCTTTGACATGGAAATCTTACTCGGTACTCCAGAAACCAGCCTAAGAGGTCGCAACACTCGAAAAGCCCTCAGCGCTTTCACGTCGAAACCTTCTTTCATTAGTATCGACAACACCGTGCTCACCATTCTGTAAAGAAACGGTACAGAGGTTAAATGATATCCATTTCGCGGCAACGATCGAATAAGGAGTCTCCTTTCGAACGAGCATCGAAGCGATTGTTCGTAACGGTATACTCACCCTATGACTACTATCGAAAAATCTAACATGTTCCATCCGTTCCGAAGATAAGCTCCAGGATGAGCGACGAAACCGTAAGCGATGATCTTCATCACGCACTCGACCGTAAAAATCACAAGAAATATATACTCTATTTTTTCCTGAAACATAACCGTTTACGATATTTCAATGTTACGTTCTTCCATTCCATCGTCCTGCTAAACGGTAAACCTAATAGACGACGATCGCTGATACGATCGCTGATACGATCGCTGATACGTGGCCAGAAAACGAGAAGGGTGCGAATTCGAACTTCTCTTCGAGAAATAAACCAGATGCTCGAATTTTCGAAAAGCTGCTTACGTTCGCGAGCGCGACGGGTTTAACGAACAGACGCGATACAGGCCGAGCGAATATTTGGAAGAAGCTTTATCGTCGACGATGAGTGAAAATGTTGCCGTTTTCGGAAAAATAGAGAAGAACGCGTTGCAGACACTCGGGCCGCGATCAATGATTCATCGTATCCGTGCACGCTTACTAGCAACTTCGGTAAACATTTATACCGCTTAAAGTCCGCGTAGTTTATCGATGGCTGATCAAGACCATTCGCGACCACTTGTCCGTTCGACGCGACGGACGACCATGGAGAAGCTGCGTAAACTGTTGCATACCGAACACTCGATAGTAACGGAATACAACAATGAACGTCGCGTGTCCTGAATCCATCCTCGAAAGGATGTCGTCCAACCTTCCGGTACATGTCCTTTATATGTATATCGATCGCTTCTCACCGATTTCCGTTGTTCGCGGTGACACGAATATCGTGACACGAGTTTAGAAGGTAAACTATAAACCCGTAGAAAGATGCCGCTGCCGTTATCGCTTTACGTTAAACGGCACGTCGCTTTACGTGTATGTATTAAGACTTAATTATTCTAATTGAAATGTGACGAATGCGCCGACAAACGCAACCGCGAAAATAGCAGGCGTTCGAAGAAAAATAGGTGCGGTTTGTTGGACGAAAAACTGGGTCTACGCGCGAATTATGTTTTCCGATAATAGTAGGGAACAGTGCACCCTGATTGTCAGCAAGATCGAGCAATTATCGATGTTTCACCTCGAATAAGTTTCATGCCATCAACCCTATCTCTTGAACATGGCTTTTATTTACCGATAACCTGGCCGGTTCACGCGGTTCGATGAACGGAACAGATATTTCTATTATCTTCTCTATTATTAGCTTGATCGAAAGTTGTTGCTCGGATCAAGATACCTGACATCCAAAGCGATCGTCGATGTTTCGTTTCTTCGATCGCGTTCAATTTTTAAAGGAGAAAATTGAAAATACCGAAAGGTTGTCTTTGCTCGTGGCGCAGGATAACGGCGCGTATATCGGACGTCGAATCGATTTGTGCCTAACAAGAACGTAAAGGTGAACAGCCGCGGAAATGTTAAATAACGACGAAGAAAATATTATCGAAGTGAAAAGAAAAAAGATACTTACCAAATACTGGTTGGTCAAATTAGAATCACCGAACGGGTACGGTGTGTAGACTGCCAGGGCAACGCAGTTCGCGAATATCGTCATAAGAATAAGCCACTCGAAAGGTCTGAAGAGTCGATCGCGGGTCTAGCTAAGGAAAATGAAAATAACTTGGAACCGACTTTTCGGCGCCTTAAAAGCTTTCGAATATAAAATCCGAAAACTTCTCTCGTGGCTGACGGAATTTTACCGGATGGAAAAAGACGGAAGAATAGTTCCTAGCTTTTGTATCGAATACTTCGATAAGTGTTTTAAACGTTTTACGTAAGAGACCGAAATAGTGACGGAATTGGGAATTGGGAATAGAAGAGAATCGTATCGAGATCGATGAACGATGACTGACGGGCAGTTCCGCGTAAAATTTCCAAGTCGAGCAGCTGTTCCGGTCGGTGGCGAAACCTTAGAAAAGAGAAAAAAGGATACTTCCATTCGACGACGTCGATGCACATTTTTCGCACGGGATTCTTGAGGGTTAGACAGAAAAGGGCCCTAACAGGCCTGTCGGGCGGAGGTTTACCACCCCTTCGAGCCGGCCTCTTGGTTGCCGATTTGGCGGCACCGGTACTGGTCCCGAGCGTCTGGCCCGTTTGCGACTGCGCGGTAGCTGGCTGTCCGTCCTGGGCAGTTTGCGGATTCCGGTGCTGCCCGAGGATGGGGGGGGTCGCGGCAGTCGGCTGGGCCCCCGGCAGCTCAGGGGGGCCCAACCCCGAGCCCCCATCCCCCCCC